TGAGTCTTTATCTCGATGAATCTCTATTCCAAGAATCTTCTTTGTAGGACCCAAATATTTTATGTCAAATTCCTAGCTCAATAAAGCTTTCAAACCACAGACATCATGCATATTCTTTGCAACAATCAATATGTCATCAACTTACAGTAACAGAAAAATAATAGAACCATCATCAAGACTCTTAATATAAACACAACAATCATACTCACATCGTTTGTAGTCAATCTAAATCATGTAGAAGTCAAACAACTCATACCATTGTTTTGAAGATTGTTTCAACACATACAATGATTTCTTTAATCTGCAAACCAAATGCTCCTGTCTAGGTTGAGTGAACCCTTCTGGCTGCTCCATGTAAATCTGCTCCTCTAAATCACCATGCAAGAATGTAGTTTTAACATTCATATGCTCCAAATGCAAATCCCAAATAGCTACTAATGCAAACACTGCTCTGATTGAGTATGTCTGACCACGGGAGAAGAAATTTCATCATAATCTTCCCATTCTGCTGTGAAAATTCCTTTATTGTCAATCGAGTCTTGAACTTCTTCTCAAAATAGCAGCAACAGTTCAAGAATGTTATGTATCTAAATATAGAAGTTTAGGTGATAGACATGTAATTACTAAGAATTGCGTGGTATTCATGTAAATGCTACAAATAAATTTCCAGGAAGGAGCAAAGTCCAACTTTGATGCTAATTAATTACCTTTGATGATTACTATGAAATTTTATAACCATCTTATAGCATCAATTTATAACTATTATTATTATAAAATATTCTCATTATTAAGAGTATTTTTATTTACTATATTTTTTGGCGACTCTGCTATTATTTATATATAAGCACAACCTTCTATCAACACATTATTTGGTTCAATAAATATGCGTCGAATATCAAAATAAGCCCCCAACAATTCCATGTGATAATTTAATCCAAACATGTCATTTCTTTAATTTAATCATTCACTTATATAGAAATTTGATCTAGAATGATCCCCCAAACATTTTAGAGATGAGATTGCGAACAATTTTGCATCACAATTAGCAAGAAACATTTTAGAATCAATTTTACATAATCGAGAGACTATATTAGAAAAATGCAATACTTTGTTCTCCTATAATTTATAAATAGGACCTTTTATGTACAATAAGACTCAAGTCATTTTAGCTCTCCCCTTCTCTTGTAAATAAACCTTTTAATGTATGAAATGGGTTTAAGAGCACGGGAAATATCCTCACTTCGCCCCGCTTCACGACGCCACCTTTTCTCTCTCTCTCTTTCTCGGTTTTAATGCTCTATGCCTTGGGCATGTACCACTGACAATTCTGTAAATAAGGGACAGATGCTGGAGCGAAACGGAGCAAGCCAGCGGAGAGGAGCTCGCGAGCTAGCATAGGTGGATAAAACTTTTGGTGTGGGATATGTAAATACATAAGAATTGTGTGATAATAAAATATGTTTTCTACATTTAGTCGAAGATTTTGTTCAGGATAAAACTTTTGGGTTTTTTTCTTCTAACCCAATGCATGGTTTTCTCAGGACCTTCAAAAACCTGAAGCTAAAATTCTTGGCGGTCGTGTTGTTGGTGGAATCACTCAGCGTTTCTCTGCTCCAGCTGGTTCTCCGCCCTCCCCTCACAGCTGTAGCACAGTAATGGCAATTAATTGTGAATGGCTAATGCCTAAACTTTTTGATATTTACATATCTAACAGAAAGATTTACATAAATACCACTCAATTCTCATGAATTTACATATCTAACACCTATACTTCAATTTTTACATATATATCACCTACCTATATGTGGGAATGTGTATTTCACTTTTTAAAAGTTAAAATAGTGATATTTTTTATGTGATTTGAAAGATTTGGCCGCTATATTTTTATCAATACATATATATATATATATAGTTTTTAAGATTTATAAGTTATCAAATTTATATCGAGCTATTTGCTAAGTAATAAATAAGCATATTTACAAACATAAGTGCACAAATAGATTGGTTTAATTTATTCATTAATATAAAAAATTTTTAGAATAGTATTCAAATTTATTTAATAGTGTAGATAAATGTTAAAATTTCAGAATAATGAGAAATAAAGTGAAATAATTTTTATTGTTTCATTGATATGAACGGAGGAATAAATAACCCTTACAAGTATCTTATAATTGAAAAAATAACAAAAAAAAACGATATGAAAGGAAAAATATATCACATGATATCTCCAATAATTAATTCATATTGATTATTACAGGATATAGGAAATAACATAAAATATGAAAACAAATAATTCATAATCTAAGCAAATAAATATAAAATAGGAAAAAAAATATCTCCTTATTCTAAGAAAATAATTTATTCCTCATAATCTTCTATAAGAATAAATTATTTCATATTATAATTCTTAACACTCCCCCTCAAGTTTGTAATGTAAGTTAATAATTCCTAACTTGCTGAGTAATCAAGAAAAATTGGTCGTTTGGATTATCGAATTAGCTAGATTTAGGCTTGACTAAATTTTTAGTTTTGTCTGTCATGTGTTTAGGCGTAGAAGAGAGATTCAGGCTTGGCTGAATTTGCTAGATTCAGGCTTCGCTGAATTTTAAATGATATCTCCAATAATTAATTCATATTGATTATTACAAGATATAGGAAATAACATAAAATATGAAAACAAATAATTCATAATCTAAGGAAATAAATATAAAATAGAAAAGAAAATATCTCCTTATTCTAAGAAAATAATTTATTACTCATAATTTTCTATAGGAATAAATTATTTAATATTATAATTTGTAACACTCCCCCTCAAATTTGGAATGTATGTTAATAACTCCTAACTTGCTGAGTAGTCAAGAAAAATTGGTCGTTGGTATTATCAAATTAGCTAGATTCAGGCTTGACTGAATTTTTAGTTTTGTCTGTCATGTGTTTAGGCGTAGAAGAGAGATTCAGGCTTGGCTGAATTTACTAGATTCAGACTTCGCTGAATTTTATTTTTTGGCATATGGTTCGGCGTAGAAGAGATATTCTGGCTTAACTGAATTTGTTGGATTCAGACTTCGCTAAATTTTGAGTTTTGCAAGGAAAGAGACAACCTACAGGAAAACTGACTCTTAGTTGATCTCGGTTGTCGTTGGTTGCAAAGAAAACATGTAAATCACACCCAGTAAATTCTGCTGACAGAGAAAGCAGCAGCAGAAAGGGCGGCTGGAAATAGAGCTCCCTCCGACGCTTGGGCCAGGGAAGAAAAAATACTGCAAGAGAAGTGATCGGCTGGAAACACAGCTCCTCCTGACGCTTGGGCAAGAAAGAAAAAATACCACAGAAGAAATGACCGGCTGGAAACGCAGCTCCCCCTGACGCTTGGATAGGGAAAAAATACTGCAGAAAAAAACATTGGCGATGGATTTTGTCGGCATTATCTGATCGACAACAGCGAATGGGGCGGGTGGCGACGTCGATGGTGCCACCATGGCTGTAGCCCCTGCTAACAACCCCCTTCTTCTCGATTTGTTTGGCTCGTGTTGACGTCTTGCACAACGAAAGCAACATGTTCTGTCTCGACTGAAGGGATGCCGACTATAGATTTTCTGAATGCCAGCAGAGTCGAAGCTCTCGGTTCAGGAAGGGTCGGTCAGCAAACAAAGCTTGCAGGGAGAGAAAAAACGTTGTTTCAAATACCGAGATGAGTGCCCCCTCACTTCCCACACAGATGATGACAGGAAGGGAGTCCAACAATTCTCAAAGGAGGACCAGTGGCTTGAGTACGAAATTAAGCTCTGATACCATGTTGAAATTCAGAATAATGCGGAATAAAGTGAAATACTTCTTATTATTTCATTGATATGAACGAATGTATAAATAAATCTTACAAGAATCCGATAATAGAAAAAATAATAAAAAAGAAACGATATGAAAGGAAAGATATATCATCTGATATCTTCAATAATTAATTCATATTAATTATTAGGAGATATAGGAAATAACATAAAATAAAAAAACAAATAATTCCTAATCTAAGGAAATAAATATAGAATAGGAAAGGAAATATTTCCTTATTCTAAGAAAATAATTTATTCCTCATAACTTCTTATAGGAATAAATTATTTTCTATTATAATTCTTAACAATAAATAAATGTAATTGAGTTTTATATCACTATATAAATGAGTATTGAATTAATCGTAGAGTGCACAAGTTTTCCTTATAATACTTGGCACTGATTTTGTTTTTATAGAGTTTAATCGGATCACTTGTTATTGAATGTTAAGAACTCAATAACTATATACTCATGTGGATTGTGGTGAATTTTTTATTTTTTATTTTTTGGTATGCGAGCTTCGAACAAAAGACCTTCCAGTGCGAAAGGAAATGCCCAACTACCAGGTCACCATCTCATCTATATTGTAGTGGATATCTAATATATAATTGGAGAGACAAAGATAAACATTAATAATTTTGTAAATAAAAATTGTGCAAAAATCTCACTTTCTCTCTATCCCTCCCTCCAAAATAAATAATTTAAATTTAATGTGATTTAAAACACCTAGATCTAATCTAAAACCATTAATGATAATTAATCCCAAGACTCACTACAATTGTAGATAAGAATTGACAACCAACTGAAGAATCACTTTATAAATAAGATAAATAGGAAAGAAAAAAAAATTTAATGTGAGCGAGAATTTGAGAAATGGACCTAAAATATCACAATCATCAAAATATACCACACTTACATGAACTATCGTTCTATGAGAGCTATAATTCAATCTTAGAACACATTAGATAAAATCCAGATTACTCTTTAAAGGTTCATAAAAAGACAGTGATTGCAAATTACAATAAGCATCCACATAACACAATAAAGAACATGAATCTAACTAAACAAGTTTTCACATACTGATTGGAAGAGATTGATTTAGAATTACATGAACTACACAAAAACTCAAATAAGCTATGTTGACGTGTATTATGCGGACCACTCCTCTCCTTCCTCTACGAAATATAAACATAAGGAATGAGTGCAATCTTGTGCCAATCAGATCCTGAAAGCTCTTCATAGCGCTCCATCAATTCTTGTTGACAGTCATGTATTGTCAGATATACCAAGGAGTGAGGGAGGTTTGGTAGTTCTCGGAGTTTAGGAACTTTTATGATGTAAAGTTTTTGGAGAGAAGATAGGGTTGCAAGGGAAGAAGGCTGGCAATCTAGTTGAGCGAGATCATGTAGATACAACTCCAACAAAGAGTCAGGGAGGTCTGGCAATGATTTGAGGAGCGGAATTCCAACTAAGCGTAGCTGCTTGAGGGATGAGATGGCCGACAAAGAATATGGCAGGCACTGCAATGATTCGAGTTCTTGAAGCACTAAGTATTCCAGAGAGGTGGGTATGTTCAGCAACAACTCGAGTAGAGGAGCCATATACACATGTAGAGTCTTAAGTGAAGAGAGGCTTTTCAAGGAGGAAGGGAGAGACTTCAAGGATTTGAGCCTTCTTAAAAACAACTTACAAAGTGACGAGCTAACTTGCAGAAACCACTGTTCCACCTCAAATGGAAATGCAACCACCTCATCATTATCCTCAATTGTCAGCCGTTCCAAGGAGGTGATACTTCTCAGTGGCTCCATTAGCAACAAAGATGGATCAGTTATACTAAGATTGCCCAATATGAGTCGGAGATTCTCAATGAACTTTGCTTCTTGCAGTCCATTGAGAGAGAGAGAGATCAGAGCGGGGCAATTTTGAATTGTCAAGTTTCTCAGTGCTTCAAGTCTTACTATTTCATCAGCTAGAGGAAGAGATGCCAGGCATGGACAGCGACGGTTCAAAGCTTTCCACCCAATATTATTGATCGTTAATGTTTTGAGCTTAGGAGGGAAAAAGGGAAACTGATGCAAATTTGGGCAATCTATGAGGTAAAGCTGAGTAAAGCAAGGAAAGAAACCGTCATCTTCTGCTGCTCCGGCTGTATCAAACAAATCCTCTAATGCATCTAATTTTCTAATATGTAGCAGTTGCAGTGATGGAAACACACAATGTTTGGCTTTCCCTTGAAATTGGTGATTAAGACGCTTTGCTTTTGGCATGTTCCAAAGGAACAAACACTTGAGGAAGGGAAGCTGCCCAAAAGGCGGAAGAGTTTCCCACTCCAAACACTTATCTAGATGGATGAAGTTTAGATTGGAGATCAAATTGGCATTGTCCATCCACGTTGCAGACCTTGCACCCATATATGCATGTATGCAGAGTTTCTTTAGATTGTTTTGTGGTTGAAGATTTGCAAATACCTGCTCGTGAAAGGAGCAATCTACAATGTTCGATGGGGTTTGACTTACTAGCTCAGTGTCACCCCAATCTAAAGACAATTCCAAGAGGTTTCTCTTTTCACATAATTTGGCACTGCATGCCTCTTTGGCATCCTTCACACTTCCAAGAAATTTGATATTTAATAAGCGGAGATCGTTCATATGTTCCAGCTCCCCAATTCTATAACCATCTTCATTCTTAACATAAAACGCATCCAATTTTTGAAGAGAGTTTAACTTCCCAAACCCATGGATCCAAGAAAAGACATTCCGAGGCATTTCCATGTAACGCAAATTAGAAAGTTTATTAATGTCTCTTGGTAAGAGATCATTAGAAGGTATCACAGAATAAATTTGATAGATAATGAACTGCAAATGATACAGACTGCTTAAAGATCTTGGCAGTTGAGTAACATAACTTCTTGATATGTTCAAGTATCGAAGATGCATTAAATTTTCAATCGCCTCAGGTATTACTCTCAACGAGGGAGATCTTATGAACACCAAACGAATACTTGTCGATTCTTTAAAAATTTCAGTAAGTACATCAATAAAATCTTGATCTTCTCTGTCAAACCAAAAAAACATCGAACGCAAATTTTTTAATTCTCTAATTTTTCTCATGATTTGTAGATTTGTAGTTTGAATAGATAAGTGTCGAGTAGTTTTAGGAATATGAAAAGGCAACTTTATATTTTCCACAAAATGGAAGTATTCCTGTGCAGAAACAGATTGTGCCAATTCATGTAATAAGTCATGCATCTTGCAGGAATTATTATCAAAAGTCCGAGTATTTTCAAAGAAAGATTTTTTGACTAAAATATCAATATATCTTCTTCCGACATCTTCCATGATCTCTCCTGAATTGAAAGACGGCTGAATGAAACCCAATGCAATCCACATTCGGACTAAATCATTTTTATCAAAGCAATGATCTTGGGGGAATAATCCACAAAATACAAAACAAATTTGTAGATGTTTCTCGAGGTATTTATAACTTAGTCTCAAGATTGGCATGATGTTATTATGAACCTCCTCTGGTTCGGCACTTCCAATATCACTCTTTAAAATTCTTTTCCAATGCTCCACATTCAAGCTAGAATTTAGAACAGCACCAATGACCTTTGCTATCAATGGAGACCCCAAAAGCTTTTTAACCATGTTTCTAGCAATGCATCTTAATTGTTGATGATCATCACCGTTATTTTCATCAGCGAATGCATGGGTGTTAAGGAGCTGCAAACACTCATCTTCCTCCAAGCCCCCTAGTCTAAATGTTTCCTTCTTCATTCTAATCACCTTGGCAATCATCGATGCAGCTGAATCCATCCGAGTTGTGACCAAAATTTTACTCCCCAATTTTCCATAAGCCAGAGGGGAGAGCACGTTCTCCCATTTGCGTTTATCCCTCTCCTCCTCATCCTCCCAAATATCATCAAGAACAAGCAAGAACTTCTTGCACTGCACTTCAGACTTGAGATTCTCTTGAAGAACAGCAAGTGACTCAAGCCGAGGCCTCGTCTTCTTAACATGTTCCAACATATCAGCAATGACTTTTTTCGCATCAAAGTCCAAAGTTGTTGGAAACACAAAACCACATTTTAAGATCAAATTCGTCTTTCACATCTTGAAAGACATGGTGTAAGAGAGTGGTCTTCCCCATACCACCATGACCCACTATAGACAAAAGAGAAATGTTTTTGTTAGAACTAGTGCCGGTTAGATCTTCAATTGATGGTTCCTTCAACCAGCGCATAACAAACTCTTTTTCCTTGCCTCGACCGATGAAAACAAAACCAGGGTAGGATCCGCTTGCACGATCGTCGCAAAGCTGCTGCTCCTTCGCCTGCTGCACCTGCTTTGTTTCTATTAAAATAGGAAAGAAAGCACTTACCTCAGCCGAAACTTTATCAAGTTTCTGCACAGCCTCCACCAGCCTCTTCAAGTTGCAGTCAATTTTGAGGGCACGTCCGCCTAATTTGCGAAGTTTTCTAGCTCTTTCAAAAAGGAAACTAGTGGCGGCGGAACGCTTCTTTGTTTCCTCCATATTTTGTTCGGTCGCCCGTTCTTTGAGCTTCAGGTACTCAAACTCATCGAGCAAATCATCGGCCTCATCGATAGCATCTCGTAGCTGCCACATCCAGCTGTTGAGTGCCGAGTTCTGATCTGCGATGTGTGCTTCGTTGGAAGCAGAGAGGAGAGCTTGGATCTTGCAGTGATTCTCTCGCAGCCTTTGCAACTCCTTCTCCATGCTATTCTGCGATCCGAAATGGTATTGAAGGTACTCAACGCAGGTGTTGATGATTTGTTGATGATCTTATCCAAGATTTGGCCAATAAACAATTCTGCCATTGCACCGCAGAGGAGAGATTGTGGAAGAGAGTAAGATATGAAATCCGACTATGGGAAATTTCAATAAAAATATGAAATCAGATTACAATTCCTTTGTAATTTAATTTTTTTTTTAACCATTCCAATTGTTCTTTTCCGGCATTGAATCTTTCTATTCCAATACAAATGCGAGGAAATCGACGAATCATTAAAATCATAAAAAACACGAAAAAATCCCAAAAAGAGACCACGATCACAGCTTATATAGAACGCTGAGAACGCAAGACGGGATCACGGCTTATAGAGACCCGAAACTCCCATTTTTCATCTCCCGCTCCTCTCCTACCCAAAACTATTGAGGAAGGTAACTTCATGTCTTCTTTTTAGCATGGAGCGTCCGTCTCAGATTTACTAAATCCACCGATTCACGGGATTTAGTAAATCTGGGATTTAATTTAGGTTGAAATCCGGATTTATCAAATCTGAGGCTTTATTTTGTCCAAAATGACCATCTAGCAAGATACAGGTTAAATCCAGCTTAAATCCTGCTCTAAATCCGTTACCAGACCGGCCCTTCGTGATGGAAGCTGCCCAAAAGGCTGCAAGAGTTTGCCACTCCAAGCATTCATACACTTGGAAGTACTCAACTTATATGAGAAACTCTGCAGAAGTTGGATTTGGAAATAATTCAGAAACACTGCAGATCTCAACTAAGAGATGAGAAGGTGCTTGAAAATCGTAAAACACAACCTAAAAAAAATTGAAGATAATGTTATCAGTCGGAGGAGAAGCGTTGTATGAACATCAACAAAGACCTCTAAACTTCTGTGGGGAATATGTTTTGAAATGACGCAATAAATACAGTCCTTCATGCCTATACAAAGCTTTCCCCACAAAAGAAGAGAAACTATAAAAACAAATAATAAGATCTGATAGGCCCAATACCTTTGCTACCACCATAGATCCACCCAAAAAATTTCCCATAATATAGGATGCACCATATATGTCGCACTCCAAACTATTTTATCCAGGTCCAACAAAATTCAGGTCACAAATAACACCCCCATTGTTATCCATCTTCAATTTGTTAAGCAAGGAAATAGAAAGTCATTTCCTGCTGTTGCAGCAACAACAAAACAATTTCTTATATGTAGCACCTTTAGTGATGGAAGCACCCAAATAGGTGGAAGAGTTTGCCACTCCAAGCATTCATCCACTTGGAAGTACTCAGGATTGTTGATCACATGGATCATGTCGATCCATATGGCAAACCTGGCACCCATGTATGCATTTATCCTTGGCTGCTTTACAGCCTACTTATCAATATACTTTACG